CGTCTGAATCTGCTTTCAGTACTAGTGGTAGATTTATTAGTCCACACAGAAATAGGCTTCACCCCAAAATTTTGGAGGCTTTAATGTGTACTCAAAATTGGTTATGGGCTGATATTCAAGGTACGATGTTTATACATTTGCTTTTCATATTGTTCCTTTTATGAATTATCTTATAACTAATTATTTTACTTTATTAATAGCGAATTCTGCGCCATCTGCATATTTTGGATGTTGCTCGAATATGAATGATGAAGATATTGATGAGGAGGTATTTTTATTTATCAGATAATGTAAATTTTAATCATAGTTATTATGAATTTATGATGATATTGAGTATAATATTTCTTTCGATTTTTAAGGAACCATCTTGTGTCATCTCTAGCCGTGCTGATGATTGAAATTATGAAGATGTTTTTAATTGTTTTTCTTGTTGGAAAATATTCGTCTTCTGAAGTTTTTTGCTTTATTTTGTTGTTTTGTGGAGAATTTGTAACTTATTACTGGACACTTAAGCCGAGACAAAAACAATGTGCCACATTTCTTGCGTTTAAAATGAATGGGTAGTTCTTATTTAATTTTATGAGGGTTTATGGATTTATGTTCTTAAATTTGATGAAAAAATATTTTTTGGAAATAGAGTTATTTTTTTCCTTAATCGTAACTGAAAATTTTTTAGGGCAACAAAAAATTTAAAAAAAAATAAACGGGGCAGGGAAACGGGGCCGGCCCCCTCCCCGCCCCGTCTAAGGCGGGGCAGGACGGAGCTGGGGAGTGGTGCGGTGGGGTGGGGGTGCCCCGCCCCGTTGCCATCCCTAATCACATGCAACAATTGCATCCAATTTCATACAAGCAACTCGAACAGCAGTAGTATGATATACAATTGTGAGGAATGAGAAAAAAGAATTCGAAGAGAGATTGATGAAGGTGAAGATGAAGATGAAGAGGAAAGAGAATTAAGGAGCCAAGATTTCATTTTGCCTCCGTATTTTCTGTAGAAAGAACACAAAATGAAAGCTATAAACCCTAATTAGGTTATCAAAACTGACAGAACTAGCAGTCCCTTTAATTGGGTATTTAGAACAAAGCTCTATTATCACAATTTTTCGACGGTAGAGACAATGTGCACCGGCTGGACATGGAATCTGCCAGAAGGATATAATTACAAAATTGGGACCGTCTGCAATTGAAGAAAATGAAGACCTGTCAATTAGTAATAACGAATTTTAAAAATTAAGAACTTTTTAACAATTAGCAGAACAATGAAAAAAGCATCATGACTCAACCTAATTCAACAACGAGTGCGTCATCTATTGGCAGTGGAGATAAATTGAACAAGATTGAAATCGCAAAGCAGATTAAAAAAAGTTTAAAAAATAAACCGAAATCGGAGCACGAAGATGTGCAGATCACCTTGAACACAAGCAAGTATCAACTCACACAAGTAAAAAACTGCTTTTGTTCACATCCACAACTCACCTTGAACACGAGCAAGTATCAACTCACCCTACTTGATACCTCTAGGCCTATCTGGGGGTGAGTAGGGTGAGATATTCCAGGCCACCCAACCCCACCAAAGATACGGACAAAGCCAACTTACAGGGCAACTTTGTATTATAATTTTCGAATGCTATGAAAGGTTCTTGATACCAAAGTACTCACAAGCAAGCCTGTAACGCACATTTCGATTTGTAAAATCATCAAACGATGAGATTGTAGTAATGAGTTAAAATTGGTGGGTTAAGTAAATCTAAATTCATGTTGTCTCCTCTATGGCATATTTTTGGATTATATTTCTCTATATTCGGGGTACGTTCTTGGCATAGTCCAAAGAACTTGCAACCAACTGTACGATGCATATTTCGAAATGACAAACCATAATATAGTGGACTTAAAATAACTAGTCAAATATGACTATTTAAAATGTTTATATTAAGTTAATGAATTATATTAAATAGGCAAATTTAAGGGTATGGCTCACGGAGGCACCATTTTCATACTGCAAAAGTCCTGTAAAAATTGCAAGCCCCAAGTTGATCAATACTAGTTCCAACCTGATTAAATGTTCCATGAGAAAAGAAGCATGTACTTTTAACAAAAGAGTCCAGAAAATCTCACCAACATATTAACACTCTATCATCAACTTAGCTAAAGACCTTGAGGACACCTTCTAAGAAGCTGAGAGTACTTGAAAATTACAAGTCTGTTTTATCTTTTCACAATGAAGAATGATGTATAGCCCTTGCTATCTTCTACAATCGGGTTTCATTCTTTCCGGCATTCCATTCAGGGAATCGGATTCTAGAACATTATGAGAAGAACATCACGAGTGTGCCCGAGCAAACTCAATGTTGTAGCAGCAATATGATTCCCACTCAACCCTGCAAGAGCAAGTTGATCCTTCGGTACTGCATCCTCGATGTAGTTGTCAGGACTCAGGCAAAGTGATTGGGCGCCGCTAGAAAATTAATTTTGAGGATAAGTAAAGATTTAAGAAGGGATTAAAATTTTGGCAACGACTAAGTAAATAAATCATCAATAAAAAGGATAATGCTAAACGAAACCCACCAAAACAAATTTAACATGGTATCGTTATCGGTTGCAATCCATGAAAGTAAGTGAAGAAAGATGAATAGACATTTAATGAAGGATAATAGACATCTATTATAAAATCATATTACTTTACGAATCTGACTCTTTCTAAGGTCCATCCTAATAAACTAGTACTATAAACCCTAGTAAGTTCTTTCAGGACAATTTTTTCTCCTAAAAGGTATTTTACCTTTTAGGACTTTGTGGAATAATATTGCTCCATAAAAAATGTGGAGGATTACCTAGAAAAAAAAAATCGACATTTTTATGCATGATTTTCATTCCTATGTAGCTCAAGGGTCACTAAGTTCTTCCGACTAAGTGAACACAACTTTGTTGTTATAAGACTTGCAACTAAAGGGAGGTACCATATACTTCTACCCCATATATGTGGTTTTTAATTATTTTGATATTGTTTACGTTTATGTAAAGGACTTACATTTACTCGTACAAGCATGGATGCTCTATCAAAGCCTGGTCGATTTCCATGGTCGAGGAAATTTTTTCTGCTTTAAAGTAGCTAACACTGGGGAAGAAAGAAACAAGAAAAACCAAGACCCAAATAAAGAAATTACCTTGATTCCAGCATCAAGTAGCCCATCAAGTGAAATGAATTGAGCAACATGTGCTCCAAATCCTCCAATTGAACCCTCCTCGACTGTAATCAAGAAGGTGTGATTCTTGCATAACATCCTCACAAGGTTTATATCAAGTGGCTTGCAAAATCTTGCATCAGCAACAGTAACGTCGACACCAAGCTTGGAAAGAAGGGAATGAGCTCTAAGACAATTTTGTACCATGGAACCATACCCCAGTAAGGCAATATCTTTACGGCTTTACCCTCGTTGAGTATTTTCCCTTTACCAATCTGCCTCACACAAGCCAAGCAAGGAAGATCACAAAATAGGACATAAAACAGAGCAAGTAAAATTTAATAATTAAAAATTCAAGAAAGAGGCATGAAAAAAAAAAAAGGCATATTTACCTTCAGCACAACCGATGAGTGAATAGATGTAAGATCAGATTTTCTGTCCTTTGGGACAACAGAGAATGATTTGCAAGCCATTATTGCGATGGTTGTTTAGACATGTAAACCTTCAACAGGCAAGCCGTTCTCTTTCAACTTTCCATTCACAAGAATATCATAAGTTGTGTCATCAGGTACAAGACCTTTATCAAGCATTTCATCATGCAACATAAAAGCCTCTCGCAAATTCCCCTCCTTAAAATATCCAGCAATTAATGTATTATAAATGAGTACATTAGGGGTCATACTCTTTTTATACATCTCTTCCAAGACCTTGCGTGCATTCTCCACCTGCCCTTTATTACAAAGACCATGTACCAGTACAGTGTAGGTAATCACATCAGGCAATATACCTTTGGTACGCATCTCATCATAAAGATCTGAAGCAAGAACTATATTCCCATCCTTTAGTAGCCCATCAATCAATGTGGTGTACGTTGCCAAATCACATGGAATTCTCATCATAAAGATCAGAAGCAAGAACTATATTCCCATCCTTTAGTAGCCCAGCAATCATTGTGGTTTACGTTGCCAAATCACTTGGAATTCGTTCTTTCCTCATTTTTTTATATAACTCAAGTGCTGCTTCCATATTATTCAGGTTTCTGAATCCGCTAATCATGGTGTTATAAATGATACTGTTGGGAGATAGACCAACTTCCAAGATTTCATAAAAAAGTTTATGGGCAGTTTTCATGTCACTTCTTTTGCAGAATGCATTAATAAGGGTGCTATATGCAGTTACATCCAATTGAATACCTTTGACTCGCATCTCATTTTGCATCTTCAAGGCAAGATCAACGTTGTTGCTTTTGCAAAACCCATCAATTAAAGTGGTGTAAGTGATTACATTGGGGGACAGTCCACTTTCACACATCTCTCTGTAAACAGCCATTGCAGAATTAATATCACCTTCCTTTACAAAACCATCAATAATGCTATTATAAGTCATGCAAATGGGACTGAATCCCATCACCATCAAATTTTTCAGCTTATCTTTTGCGTCAGAAGTTCGACCAACTTTGCATAAGCCATTGATAATGGTGTTGAATGTGAAGTCAGTTGGGGCAATCCCTAAGCTTATCATGTGATCAAACATTCCAAGTGCTTGTTCACAATCACCTTTCTTGAAATATCCATCTATCAATATACTATATGTGACGACATTAGCCTTCAAGTTCTTTTCTAGCATCTTGGATAGTAAATCTAATGCTATATCCATGTTCCCTTTCTTGCAGTTTCCAAGAATCATATTGTTATATGAAACCGTGGTCGGTTGAACACCTCGGTCAATCATCTTATCCCATATATTGCAAGCTTCATCCACTCTAGCCAATTTACAAAACCAGGATATCATATTATTGTAAGTAAACACATTGGCAATACCAACCTCAACAGCCTCATCAAACTGCTTGGTTGCCTCCTCCACCTGTTGAGCTTCCAGAAACCCATTAATCAAAGAATTTACAACATATACACTTGGTTGGATATCTGCATATTTCATTTGAGTAAATAAATGCTGCGCCTTCTCCATGTTTCTATTCCTACAGCATCCTTCAATAAGGACTGCATAAGTGACCTTGTTGGGAGTCAATCCATCTTCAATAATCTTATCGAACAATTCTAAAGCACTGTTTAAATCTCCCAGCTGACAGTACCCTTTCATCAAGCTTGTAGCAACAACCAAATTGATCAAATATCCACTAGTTATCATCTCATCCTTAAGCCTTAATGCCTCAGTTAAATTCCTCTGCTTCACACAAGTAGTAATCACATTTGTAAATGTACCCTCAGAAGGAACCCAATCCATCTTCTTCATCTCACTCAACAAATCACATGCAACAATTGCATCCAGTTTCATACAAGCAACTCGAACAGCAGTAGTATAAATAGCCACATCAAGCTTCATTCCACTACCCTTGGCCTCCACAAAAAGCTTCTCAGCCTCCTCCACTTTACCCTCCCTTAAACACGCACCCATCATCACATTTACAGTTGCACAATCATAACTTAATTTATTTAAAATCACATCATTAAACAAATTAAAAGCCTCATCATTCATATCTCCTTTAACCAAAGTACTCAAAAAAATATTCATTACCAACGCCCATGGTGCTATACCACAAGAAACCATTGCTTTAAAACAATCAACAGCATCTGCACATCTCCGTGCTCTAACATATCCATTCAACAAGTAATTAAAAAACCCCGCATCTAACTGAAAACCAAATCTTTCAGCACAATCAATAAAGTGATCGACCAGAACAACAGCCGAGGGAACTGAATCACTAGACGCATAATTGTTAAGCAAATTCCTAACTACACCGTTATGGTTCCCAGAACTTACCAGAATGTGCAGCAAGAGACAGAAAGGACCCACACTTCCACGTGCAAAACCCCTCTGTTTCTCTACCCATTTGAAGTACTCCAAAGCTGAAAATGGGTCATTCCTATGAGATAAAAGAGTTTCAATGACATGGGTTTGGGTTAAAACTGGGTTTTCTGAAATAGGAATTTGAAAAGTTTTGATCTTGCTAGAATTTTCGGACTCTGAGGTTCGCTTGGTGTCAATACCAGAAGGATTGGGACAGGGCACATATATAATTTCTGGGATGGTAGAGGAAGATGATATACTATTGTGAGGAATGAGAGAAAAAAGAATTCGAGGAGAGATTGGTGAAGGTGAAGAAGAGAGAGAATTAAGGAGCCAAGATTTCATTTTGCCTCAGTATTTTCTGCAGAAGGAACACAAAATGAAAGCTATAAACCCTAAATTTTAAAGTTATATATAATACAGAGATTTTATATATAAAAACAGAGAACAAGATGTGAGACCTTTCTTTGAGCAGAATAGAATGAGAAATTGAATCGATTTTGCACATATAATGAGAAATTGAATCTAATAAAGAAAAGGTTCGAATCGGTATATGCCCGCAACGGAACCCAGAGGCTGAAGAAATGGCACGATCGGTTCTCTCAAAGGCAGAGATGAAGAAGAAACCCTACAGATTTGGCTAGGATTTATGGAGGTTTGGTTTTTTGTTGGGGAATTAAAATGTGAATCAGGCTACGTCGACAAAATCCTATACCATAGCATTATCATATTCATCCAACCAAGAGAAAATTATCTAATAACCTACTTTTCAAAATTACAATTCAAAAATGAGTGCATAAAGTTTCCAATTCAAAATTCAGCTGGTATTAGGTATTTATAAATTAATAAAAAAACTTATTATGTCAACCGTTCATTTATGAGATTTAATCTACACCGTTTACGTCTCTCCATCGTTCAAACCTTGCGTGTCTCTCTCCAGTCGCTACAATACTCAAATCGAAACAGCAAACCCTCGCGTCTCTCTCCAGTCTCTACCATACCCAAATCGAAACAGCAAACCTTCTCTCTATACAATACAAACCCTCGCGTCTCTCTCTCCCTACCACAGAACTCACGCCTCTCTGTTTCTCAGCCATTTTCAATCGCCAACTTTATCATCAGATATTCATCTTGAAATAGACATCCTACATTTTAGTTTCAAAATGGTTAGAACCCGTAGTGCTACTCGTAGTGTTGATGTGAAAATGAAAAAGAAGGAAAGAGGAAAAAGATTGTCGGAGGTTTTTCTTCACCAAAGAGAGTTAAAATTTCGACCTCTGGCGGAAAGTCCATAAAAAAGGTAAAATCTGATTTTATTACATGATTTGTGAGTTTGGTGACCCGATTTTGGGTGTTATTCTACCAAAATATCGTGAATAGTTTTGGTTGGATCCTCTAGTAGTACTAGAGACGAATGGTGTATCCCATTATTGACAGAGCGAAATAATTGTTGTGTTGCTTAGTTTTGTTTCAAATAATTGTTGGTTATTTTGTTGTGCCTATGTAATTACAGAAAGACAAGATTACACTGTGTTGGTAATTCTGCACTATTTGAGTATTTGAGGTATTAGCATTTTCTAAATTCAGTGGTATCATAATGTCAAGTTTATTGGATTGAATTTGAATATACATGCCATCATGTTTTAAAATATTACACTGTGTTGGTAATTCTGCACTATTTACTTATGATCTGAATATTGATGTTTTGGTCACTGTGAAATCGTTGTTGAAAGTCATAGTAACATGAATGAAATTATGATTGTGCAGGACTGGGAATATTTAATAAAACCAAGGGATTGGTTTCATGGGAAGATTACTACTACTACAATTTAGGGTGTCATCACACACTTTGTGATGAAATTTTCTGCAAAATACATGTGTGTCTTACTACATGGACTGTAAGGAGATAGTAGTGCAGCCGCAGTTAATTCGCTACGTTTTACAACGGGAGGTGAAGCAACCAAACAAGCAAGAGATGTGGTTCAATATAAATGGGAGATATATCCGGTTCTCCATTGCTGAATTCTGCTTGGTAACTGGATTGCGGTATGATGGAGTCGACGGTCGACCGATGTTGGATGAAAAATCTTCGGCAGTGAAGGAAACATATTTCAGTGGNGATAAAAAAAAAAGGTGGAAATTGTTTTCCCACCTAATAGGTGGGAAAACAAAATCAAGCAAACATGCATTAAATTGTTGTACCAAAATAGGTGGAAAATGGATTCCCTACAAAAAAAGACACATCAAACACATGAAAAGTGGAAAAATGGAAAATGTTTTCCATTTTTCATGGAATTTGGATCGAATCAAACGCACCCTAAATTCAAGTGGTCAACCTGCGGCACCTTCGAACTGGTAGCGGGTCACGGTCATTTCAGTAATTGACCTGCGACACCTTAGACTAAAGCCTTTTTAAGATATATAAACTATATTCACAGTAGCATTTTTATCAAGTGGTTATAGTACCATTATAAGTTTTATTTGATACACCATATTTTACTTGTAATTAAACTTTTCAATTTTTGCTAATTGTAGCAATTATTTTTTTTTAACTTTTTTTCTATCGAATTCTTATCTTTAACATTCCATTAATTAATACGACTAGTCATTGATGATAATTTATATTAAAATATTTTATTTTCATACTTTGAAATGAGTGAACAATATTTTTTCGTGCTTTTTATTTATTTATTTTTAAAAAATATGATAAAAAAATAAATTATTCTACGCAATTTCAAAGGACTTTTAGACAAAATTGTAACCAAATGTTAAATGTGTTAACTAATGAAAAATTTGAGGATAAAAATGATATGAAAAACTATTAGGGATATAAATAATATAATGAACAAAGATTAAGAATCATAGATACAATTAAAATGTGGTACAAGAAATAAAAATTGTAGATAACGCTATAAATTCTCAGATTTTACTCATTATAACACTTATATTCGTTATTTCTTTTTACTTGTTCTTATTCCCAACTTTTCTATTAATTCGTAAATCTCGTCCCTAATAACGATTTTTGCAAAAAATATCATGATATGTCCTCTTGCGTGCCTCAAAACCCCGGTCGTGCAAACTTTTATATCTACTAGTTTTCCATACATGCAATGATAGACAAAATAATTTATAATTTATCCCTTCTATATTTTGTACATGAAAAATATATTGAATCAAAATTATTTTATTCGGAAACTAAACTATAATTATTATGTAAAGAAAGGAAAAATTAGAAACAAAACACAAATCTGAACTCTCAAGTTACTTTTTCGTGCATCTATATTTTAACAAAAAAACCACGCGTACATAAAAATTTCTTACAGAAGTCTTCCAAATGCTGCGTTGGAGGCATTTGATTGGATCTTTTTTTTTTTTTTTTTATTATAAACAAATGAAAAATTGTCAAGTGTATATCTGTAAAAAAAATCTGTGAAGTAAAATCAATACACCTAGCATTGTTCATATTTTAATACCAAATGAATACTGATTCATTCACATAATATGTCTCAGAATTCAAAAATTTATGAAGAAATATAAAATTGTTTTAGTAAGAGACTACAAAGATTCAAATGATTTTTTATTTATACAAAAAAAGAGCCCAAAAATTGAATTTTCATTCTAAAAATTACCTTGAATATTGGATGGTCTGATAGCGCCCAATATGTTATCATCCGACGTACGATCATTTCACATACTTCAAAAATTAAAATTTTATTAAAGCAGAAATTAAACATGGCTGCTCTTACATGTGTAGAAGTATAATGTGGGACCAAGAATTGCTCAAGAATGGTATTTTGTGGTGAGTCATGTTATCTGTACAACGATGGATTATAAAAATGGTTTACAAAATATGATATGGCATCTTGTCAACATCGTAGATTTTGCCACATCCACATAAACTGGGGATGCATCCCCACTGTGGATGAATAGCATTTTTCTTAAAAAAATTAAGTCGAACTAATATATATAAAAAATATATTTATTTCACATAAAAATTATTTTACGTATAAAATTTTTTTGCACCCCCTATATCCACTGTTGGGTCTATCCTCCCTATCGGGGACTTCTTGATTAGTGTGGCAGATTTGATGACACCGGAGGGTAGTCGGTGACATGAGATGATAACATAGCTATTCGATCAAAATTTAATCCTATTATAAAATTAAATGAACATTGGGTTGCTCTACTAATAGACTGTCGTCTGGACATAAATCCGCACTCCCACTTAGAATGGTCCCGGTTTAAGTCTTTTCCTTTATGAAGTGCATATATACCTGAACGTACTTTGTTTTGTCGTATTGAAATGGGTTGTATTGTAGCATTGTTATCACAAGACACTGTTGCAGTCCTTTTGGCTCCAATCTTAGCTCTTTAAGAAGGTTCTTAATCCATGAAACTTCACAAATCCCTAGAGCCAGTATCTAAAACTTAGCTTCAACGCTTGATCGTGCTACAACTTGCTATTTTTCGCTCCTCCAAGTTAGCAAATTACCTCCAGAAAAGGAGCAGTAGCCCGCAGTAGATCTTCGGTCATTGATTGAGCCTGCACAATCTGCATTAGAGCAGGCTTCCATAAGGAGGTGGTCATTCTTCTTGAAAAACACGCCCTTACACGGTATTGCCTTTATATATAGCTTAAAAACCTTTTGCCGCCTGCCTCCAGATGACACACTGATGGTGAGTGTGTAAACTAACACTAACAACATGGGCTATATCCGGTCGATTACAAGATAAGTGTATTAGTCTTTCACAATCACAAGTCTTTAGTGCATGTCCATGTCCACTGGCACTCCTATCTCTGCTCCTAGCTTGTGATTGGGATTTAAAGATGTGGCGGCAAGCTTGCATCCTGTCATTCCAGTTTCTTTTAAAAGATCGAGGATATATTTCCTTTTGCATACAATTATACCATATTTTGTCCGAGCTACATCCATACTAAAAAACATTTGCCACAAATAAATTTACAATAACTGAACTTTTATCCCAATAAATGTAGAGATCGATTATGCCACAACTCAATCTATAAATCATTAATTAGGCAGCAGTACATATCTGGTTCATTTAAGAATGATAATACATCCACAAGAATGGCAAAAATACCATCACCTAAACAGCAAAAACAATTAGAACTTCATCCTATACCATTGTGCAAAATTAGTAGACCAACAAAGCATGCTCTAGAATGCCAGCCCTTTGTTGGGGTTTGCGGTCATGGCTGAAAACCACCAACCCGCAGGGAAAACTGGATCAGAAAAAGCTATAAGCTCTAACATACTCATCCAAAGCCTATTATGAACTTTATTATCCCCAAATTCATCAGATACATGAAAACATTGCATTTACGA